CACTAGTGATATGTCCGTCGCAAACAACGTTTTAAGTGAACGACGGGAGCCGGCTCGCGCTCGCGAACAACCCGTTTTTGTTTTGTTTAGTAATACAAGAGAGAATTATATGATGATCTCCGCGCTACGAGTGCTCCGTGCATGATGCAGTGACATGTAATATCCAAGGATTAGAGACGGTTGGATACTGCTGTTTTGAGCACTGCAATATATTCATTTTCATTATGTTATTTATTTATCATTATTTTTAGGCTCAGCAAAGATTTGTTGTCAGTTTGTATAGGTGTTGCTATCTGCTTTTTTTCAGCGTGGTTCTACAATCAGAGCGTTACAAGGGTCTGTAAATGCAATGAAAACAATTGGCCACAGCAAATCTTTTATATTAAAAAAGTAATTTTTACTTTTGAATACTTCAGTACAAAGGATGTATTGAATAATTTAAGTGATATGTGTACACATATAAATCATTAGTCAAAACAGGGCTACATTTGATTGAATTATAAAAGGTATATTTCGCAGATAAACCTAGTAACCCCGCCCCCTTTGGGCGACTGTGGCTGCGAGGGTGCGGTCGTCTTTCAACCAGAAGGTTGTGGGTTCGATCCCAGCCCATGCAGTCAACATGTCGATGATGTATCCTTGTGCAACACTTAACCCTGAGTTGCTCCCGATGGCATGGCCAACGGTGTGTGAATGTTAGGTCCTAGAGCAAGTGGTTCTGCTCTGTATGAATGGGTGAATGACATGTATGTAAAGCGCTTTGAGGGGTCGTAAAGACTGGATGAAGCGCTATATAAGTACAGTCCATTTACCCTTTAAAAAAACAGCTCTTTTGAACGGCTCTCGCAAAGGAACGGGCCATAAGATCCGGCTCCCTTCAATGAGCCATAATTCCCATCACTAATACTCACTCTTGGCTGATCATTGTTAAACACACTTCATTCAAACTCAACAGAAACAAAAGGAAATCATCAATGTTTTTATATACCATTAAAACAACCACTAACTGGTTTGAGAGTTTGAAAGAGATGGATTCAGTAATACGTTTAAGGTAACACCATTGCCAACATTGGATCTGTAATGTCCACTGGCCAATAGAGAGGAGTCTATAGCCTAATGTAATGAGGTTCTCTCACATTTAAAGATGTAAAGGCAATCAAGACTTGTAGTATTCTCTGCTCTTACTTCCTGTTTAAGCAACATAACAAATATATACTTACAGATTAGCTAGCGTGGCAGTACACTCTTGTACTAAGTACCTTTTCATGCCACTTAATCCATGTTTTAAATCCAATGTGTGTACTCATGTCAGAACCTGCACACAAAAACAGCATTCAGATTTTTATTAAACATCAAGAGGCCTTTTAATCCATGATGGACCCTCATTAGGGCAGGCTGAATATAACCGTGACACGTCGCCTTATTTTCCACCGACAGAGATTGACACGGAGAGTTACGGAAAGACAGGCATAGAATGTTCTGCATCCTAGTCTTTGCTTAATGCTAGATAATTCCCTGTCATGGAGAAATGCAGTTTGTTATTATTGTTTTGGCATGTGTAAATACACATGCCAAAACAATTTATCATGTCAGTCTTTCTCTACATAAACCCTCTTTACTTTCTCATCTTACTATTACTGAAATTCCTCTCACTATGGAAACTGGAAGTTAGAGTAGAGACAGCAAAGCACATTAAAAAATATATTGCAGTGAAGCTTCACTCAGCAGAAAAAAGTGAGAATGTTATTGAAAATACGACATATAAATGCTTTTGAATCAAGACCAGGGTTTGTGTACATTGTCACTCCATGGTTTAATTTTTGGTAATGACAAACAATCACCTTAAAAAAATGTAAGGAAATCTTGAAAGAGAAAGAGATGATGATGGACAGGTGCAAATGAAACAAAAGCAACAGGTCTTTTGGTGTGAAGGTGACAGAATGTCTGTGTGTAATGGAGCTTGATAATGTTATTAACAAGGCTTTGCTTCAGCTCGCTTGATGGAAAACACATTTACATTCAAAACAAGTATAGAGTGGAAACAGATTCAAGAATTACACCATTAGTTTATCAATGTGAATGAACTGAATATTCTTAAAGCAATTTAATGTGATTGATAGAGCAGGGTTAAAATATATTCAAATCTCAAATTCACCTTTTTGCAATCATGGGGGTATTGGGGTTAAAGCCAAATACAACTTCTTTAATGCCTTCAACTAACAATTCTTTCTGGAAGAAATATACGGAATACATCAGTGACCTCCATCCCCTCTTGGCCAATTATTCAACTCTTCTCCATCTCAAATGTACATGAATATGATTGACTGTGAAGTGACACTGTCTTTAAAGATGTCCCACAATAAAGGAGCTCTTGGTCATTGTGTGGTTTCCCGCAAGTGTCTGTCGCCCCATGCTTGGTGGTTACCACCCTTTAACCCTTCTAAATATAGTTGTCGTTTCACGTCATGTCAAGAGAGCCAGCGTTTTCCAAGCAAAGGACTTTATTTTGTTTATACCAAGAGCCATATTTACTCAGTCTTGTAGTGTTTCCTGTTAACGTCACCTATTATACAAAATCCTCTTTTTCAAGTATTTTATACATAAATGTCCCCTATGTGTAAAGAGATTCTGAAAGTTTCAGGAACAAATACTTTTTTTGTCCTGATCCATTTATATAAAAACCTTTCTGAAAATGATCAGATTTTGGTCACTTTGTCATAACGTTTTTTTGGCTTGTGTAACCTATAGAGTGCCGTAGTGACGCATACTAAAAACGATGGTTGTTACCAAGTGGCTGAATAGGACTACAGAAGTTGTCCAGGCCGTTGTACGCCATTACACCGAACACGTAAAACACTCCTCTAAGTTAGTTTGCCCTGTTCTGCTTGAAAGCAAGTCCCTGCCTCCTGCAAACTGTTAAAACAAACACTTCAACTCGTACCATTTAGAGTCTGTATGTTTGAATATGGATCTTAAAGGAGACCTATCATGCTATATTTAAATGATATAGTGTATGACCATACCTATATAAAGTATATTTATACATTTTATTTTTCAAAATACCAAACAGATCATTTTTTAGCCATGCCTCATTTCGCTCATTTTCGCTCTATTCCAAGCCTGTCTTTGAAAATTCTGAGCAGCAGCTGACCACGCCCCCCTGCAGAAGAGCGGGGCATGAGCCGGTGAGAGTCACGTTACCATGCTTGCTGTGATTACTTGTGGAATAAACATGTCATCTCAGAGCAATGCATGTGTTCAAGCGTATTATCAATTTGATCCAGAGACTGACCCTGAAGCAGCGGAGGTTTTGGTGGAGGTGCAAACATCTCGGTTGCAGCAGGACGTTTCTGAATGGTTAGTTGACAAGCTGTTGTCCCTATTTATTTTACTCTGTTTGTTACGATGTGTGCTACTTATTCCGTTCATATGTTGGCTAATTAGCAAGAATGCTATGTGTACAGTTTATAACTTAGAGCTTGTAACGCAAAAACAGCGATACATATTTATATATATATGATAATATATACATATTTATAAAGGGAGACATTCATATTTTCAGCATATATACAATGGCCTCATTGCGTTTATTAATAGTTTACAGTCCTTTTCTTCCAACATCGTGCAACAACCGTTGGAAAGTTCAATAACTTAGGGTGATAACAAGTATAACTCCAACAACACCTCAGTTGTCAGCAGTGTGTGTAGTTTCATGTGTTTTTAAAAGCTCAGTTATTGACTTCTTTCTACAGGTGTACATGTGCAAATTGCGCCACGATGCCTTCTGAACGGAGAATGTGTGCTGCATGGCGATACCACAGGTAACATTTTTGATAGCTTCACTAAGTTGTCTGTTTAGAGAATACATTTTTCACATGTCATTCAATATATGTTTATCACACTAGGTGTCAAGACGGATGCAGGAACTTGAGGACTCTGTAACCTGTATGGTGGACCATCCTGGATTGGAGCCTGTGTGCCTGAATGTGTTCTCCCTGCAGAATGCATTGAATATTTACAGAGCTGAACATGGTGGACTACAGTTGAGGCAAATAGAGCAGTGAGTGGTTTGTTTGTTTGTTTTGACTGAAATTGTAAAACGAATGCTAATATTGTTCATGGAAATAAATACTGGTGTATATGGCTTTATGCAATCTTTCATTCTGTCATTGTACATGTACTATTATATATATATATATATTATTACACAGCAATGGCATAACACACCCATGTGTACGACAACAAAAGTCCACACACAACCTTATGCTTTTGAAATCAGAATATTCTTTACCCATCCAAACATGAATAATCACGACACATTTGATATCAACTCGGAACTTTATTGTCAAAATCAACGATTCTTTGAACCCATAAAAAAAAAACTAAATGTACTTGTATTTTGTATAAATGACACTAAATATATTTTTTAATGATTTCAGGCATCACAGGTATCTAGCCTAGAGAAGCTTTGTGAGCTGGTGCTGGGGCTTCCTTGGACGCAGGATCAGAGTGGTGATTCCGGCCTGCGTTGTCCTCAGGGAGGCAGGAGTTTCCTGATCCGCGAAATATCTATGTTGGGTTCAGACAGCAGCCAAATTGAACCGAGTAGCATACCCGGAGATGACCTCCTCCCTGTCAAGTCGCTCATATTGGGAACACAGGTCCTCTGGGATGGGTATCTTCAGAAGCTCCTGTGTGAATGGTGCAGGGTCCACAAAGACTTGGTCGAATATCAGGTCCATCAAGTTGGCCACGTAGCCTGTGCAATATTTTAAAAAACACAACAAAAAATGTGGTTTACATTAGTATATGCATGTACAAAACTGAAAGTTATTTTTAATTTATTTATTTTATATTTGTAAATAGTTGTATAATAAATATTTTAAACACTTACGGAATGTGGGGTCAGTCTTTACTGGTTTTGCTCTGCATTCTCCCTTCCTGGCCTTTGGGAACTGCAGTTTATACAGAGGGTTTCCAGTGGATGTAGTGGCTTGTGCACGCTCTGCGTTTTCATTGTAGTGCAGGGCTGCCAGGTACAGTCTTTCATTTCCGCCATGATAAAAAAAAAAAAGTAAATAATAGCAAAGAATGTACAAATTGTCACTAATTAGTAAGTAACTATGGTTTATTTTACCTGCACAACATTCCAAGAAATGGAAACACAACATTCTTTGGAGCAAAGCGCAGGATGACGGCATGGAATGACTCCAAAGATGAAGTCTGTTGGTGTGGGCTGAGTTTGGCCACAGCTTTCAAAATCCTCTTGGTTGAGAGAATTGTCTCCAGCTTGTGAAAGGCCGGCGTTCCTAAGAATTTGAAAATCAAAGTCATATTTGAATTGTCATGCTTTATAGATTGTGTCTGACAACATCCTGTATTCAATAGTTGTCCCTTACAAATATTTATAGAGGAGTAATGTAATATGGTTTATGAACAACATACCTGCAGCCATCCATTGGTATTGCGCAATGCGCAGTGGATGAAGGCACTTGGGGAACAGGGGGTCATCATGAGAGTGGATATCCTGCACGTCCATTTGGCCACTCTCTCAGGCCCGGTGGTGGAGGTTGCTGCAGTCCAGTATATGTGGTTTCTTATACTCTTCACCCACCCTCGAAGTTTTTCGCAGTCCTTCTTTTTTGCAGCCTTCTCCAGTTGCTTAGAAATCCCTAATAAATACATTTAACATGTAGTTAATATACATACAAGTTTACTCAAAATATTATTATATTATTATTATAGAAATTAATATAAAGAAAAATACCTTTTTCTATGTGCCACACATCAAAGAATTGGGTGATGCTGCTTTCCCTTAGGAATTTCTGAATTTGCAGATGTCTGTCCGTGACAATACAGTCCAGAGTCACACCACGTTCCTTTAACAACTCCAGACTCCTTTTCAGGCCCTCTAACTCCATGTGGTAGCTTCCACCAACCTCATTGCTCTGTTATGACACATACAAATAACCATTGATACACACATTTTAAATATAACGTGCAAACAGTGTTAAAGAAAAAAACATTGATATTTCATTTCACCCCACTTACCTGAACCAACTGGAGGTCAACGACTTTGTTGTTCTTCAGGTCCATCGTAGTGTAGCTTCCGAACTTTGCAGAGTGGCCTGTGAAAATATGTTTTACAGTAATTACTTTTCTCTGCGGATGGTGAATTTGTATTTTTGCTTGTAGTGTTTAGCATATGTTTTTCAGGAACCATTAATTGAATAAATCACACATAGTGAAACCCCTTTCTGAAATGTAAATTATATAAAAAATACATACCTGGGGAGTCAGCCCTCATATCACCACCAACTATCACTTTCTCCTCTGCATGGAGCTTCTGTAGCATGCCTTCCTGTGCTTTTTGCCAGTAAGAAACAATCGCTGGCTCAATGAACATCCTGGCATGCCTTCGGAAGGTGTTGTATTTGCATAGCTGCATATTCATTGTTTGAAGACCTAATGGTTGAAAGAAAACCGCAAGAACACATTTTAATCTCAAAGATCACCTGTAGATTTGTTGACGAGTCGATGAGGAGAACCTGGAAAGTGCAAATGAGCTGCCCTTTTTTAAACAGGGAAAGAGCTGAACATGTCATTATTTTATGTCATCATTTTCTCACTCTTGTTATTGTTACCTTGTCCTATCTTATTCAACAACAACATTTGCATTTTCAAACATTGGCAATACAATCTTCTGCAGTTAATTTACCTTTGAAAGTTTGTAGAAAGATGCTCCGTTGACATATGTTGCAACTGATAGCTGCAGGTTTCCAACTGGAGTACTCCCAAGAACAGGCTGGCTATTCCAGTTTCTTGTAAACTGACAATGGGGGCACAGCTGCTGCACTGATATGAATGTACCGATCCTACTGGTTTGTACATCACACACACGCTTGCACACAGGACATGATTCAAAAAGCTCCATGAGGCAGGTCTCATACACGATGTATGTGTTGATCGTCTGGGGGGGGGTTTTGTTCTTGACCACTAAAACAAAAAAATAGAAGTTAAGATCCATCACACAGATTGTTGCTTTAGAGATCTTTGGTGTTTCCCTATTATCAATGTTTGAATTATATACAGCAAAAAATACAATACATAGACAAACTCACACATAGTGATATTTCAGTAACTTACGACATGGCTGTTGTTTCTGTAGCATTTGTTATGGATTCTGCTGGATCATAAGTTGCATCCTGGCCTTCGGAAATCACCAAAGAAGAGCTTCCCTCAAATGGATCTTCGTATTCCTCTTCAAGATCCACACGGGTTCTCTTTGGTGGTCTCTTTAAGGGGGTGGATGTTAAAAAGGGCACTGGCACTTCCAACGGAAGTGTTTCGACACCAACGCTTCTGCAGGGAATTTTAGCCTGGACAGCTGTAACATAATTGTATTTGACAATAAAAACAAAACAAAAGATAAAACAAACATATTTTACAACAATTAGAAGCACACAAATTAAAGGCTACAACATCAGAATGTCAAGATGTATCCAAAGAACATTTGAAAAACGTGCTTCTAACCTGTACTTCGATGTGAACCAAGAGTCCTTGAGGATAGCTGTGTACGAACAGTACGGTACTTGGGTGGGTCAGTCTGACATGCAGAATCTGTCATCACAGGTAATCTGCTGGTAGCATGTGAGGTGCTGGCCTGTAAAGAAGAACACATAGTTAGAACAAAATCATCTCAACTTAGTATTCAGGATGAGAAAATACTATTTGGATAAATATAGTCTGAAATCCCAAAAGATGGGGCTTAAAACTCTCTATTTAGCAAAGCTCTTTGCTTAGCCTTTTCCAATCTGAGTTAGTTTTGAACCGTAACGTGCATGCTGTGTTTCTGATTCAATACAGATGATGTGTTGGAGAGGGGCTGAGCTCAGTAGACTGACTGTAATGAGTGCTAGCCACTAATTAGCCTGTTGCTAGAGGTAAGGCCTCGTCAACAACAACAGACCAACGGGGCTTTAGCTCCGTTTTACTCGTGGTGTGTGTCCCCCCTTGCATACATACACACAGTGTTGTATCCTAACACACCCCCATTTATATTCATGTGCGCAAACAAGTAAACATACAAAAGCTTTTACATATAACGCTGCAAAAAACGGCATGTCTCATTAGCGTAGCGTAGCTTACAGATCGATGATATCTGATCGTTCTTAGAGACTACAATCACAAAAGCCTTTACATATAACGCTGGAAAAAACGGCACTTACCTACAGAAGATTACGTTTGTTATTATAACTTACTCAATATGATTTTAGAGGATACAAAATACTAATAAATAGGAGAATAAATACTTGTGTTATCGTCTAGGGCGTGGCTTTACAGCCTTCACACAGATCGCCATTACGGCAGTATGTCTGAACATGTTAGCAAATGCCTGATAATTAAAAGAAAAGACGAAGCAAACAAAGCGTACAAAATAAAATGTTACAAAAACATATAAACACCTAACCGATTACTATTTGGGTTTGAGGCGACATTGATACGGTGAAGCTACATGCTACATACTACAAGCTAGAGATAGCTTTATCAGGAAAAACACCGCTAAATAAAAACGTACAGCTTCAAAATTGGATGTGTCCTCACTGGCCTGGTCCCGGATGGTTGGTATTGATCCCGGGTTTAGCATTAATTTGGAGGCATATCCGTGTTGGACTTGAGAGAAGTTCATAAACATGTCCGTCGTAAAATGTTTGGAACACACAAACAGATATCTGCCGTGGTCTTCTGGCACATGTCCCTTGAAAATGAATTCTAGCCACAGATTATTTTCTTTTTCCACTGATGGCATTGCATGCATTCCCCTGTCCCGAGTCTTGCAGCCAACAACAGCACAATGTTTAACTCGCTTAGACATCCTGGCAAGAGCAGGCAAAAACACAGATGTGACTGGGGTTGATTTAGCCTGCCGATAGCCTATATGCGAATGAGAGGTTTGGCAATGCACGTGGCCGTGGCTCATTCCCCTGATAGGTGGAGAGTTGACCAATAAGCGGAGCACGTCTTTGTGACGTAGAAAAGTGTTGAAATCTGGATCAATTTTTTTCAGATCCGTTGCAGCCCCTTTTTTAGAGATTTGGCTAAGGAGGAAAATAGAGAGGGTTGTGTTTTCTGACACTTGGTGAGTTCCCTGGAACACCGGGGACACATATTCATGTATAAAAGACGTACAAAGGTGCATTTTGCATGATAGGTCCCCTTTAAGTTAATAATAATAATAATTCCTTACATTTATTATAGCGCTTTATCAATGACTCAAAGCGCTTTACATATACACACATTACACATATATGATACATGCAATGGTCAGATACTGTGGACAATACCCACAGGAGCAAGTTCAGGTGAAGTGTCTTGCCCAAGGACACACCGGCTTTACAGACGCAGCAGCGGCGGGTTTCACCCCTTGATCTGATGATCATTGCACAGCGCACTGCGCCACACCGTCCATCTTCACGCCTCGAAGACATCGAGACGCTTTTACAGGTACACATTAGTATTATACATGTACTGTGGACATTACCCACAGGAGCAAATCCGGGTGAAGTGTCTTGCTCAAAGACACAACGGCCTGACACAGTGGCGGTAGGAGCGGGTTTCGAACTGGAGTTCCCCAGCACTCCCCCTTGATCTGATGATCGGATGCACAGACCACTGCGCCACCCGTCCCGGCAAGTTGGCGTGACGTTGAAGCAGCGACCCTGCTGTAGTTTGTTTATAGTATAACGTTAGCATTTTGCTTCTTGCGGCTAGATTTATGATTCGAAAATTATAAAAGTAGGGTAGACATGTGGATATTATCCGGCTGAACAAAACGTGATCCGTCTCTTCAATGTGTCTCAACCACAGACCTTATTTCCAGCTATTTTCCAAAATCCTATGGAGAAATTGCATTGCGTTTTTGACGAAGGGTTCCTTCGTCAAAAACGCAATGCAATTTCTCCATAGGATTCGGTTCGGAAGGAGTTTACTTCCGGGTTTTAGGATGCGTCACTGCGGTTCTCGATAGCGAATAACCAACTGTGACGACCCCTCCCCCCTGCACAACATGCCTACAGCAGACTTCCCCACATCCACTCACTGCTGACCAGTGGCGAGCCGTCAGGGCCCTCTAGGCCCTCTGTGAGGGCCTAAGATATTCTAAAAAATAATATTTGAAAACATAAAAAAAAAAACATTTTTTTTTATATGTTGTTATTACATTTTTCATTAGTTTTACCAAAATAACTTGATTTAATTGTATTTAAAATAATATTTCCAAAGAAATAAATCCTTCGAATCTGCCTGTTCAGTTTCTGTTGGAATGTGAAGGGTTAAATGCTGTCTCTGCGAGTTATGTGAAGACGGGAGAGCTGTTGGTCCCTCTCTACATTCACAGAGGGCCGCTATAGTAACTCAACGAGAGAGTAATGTCAAATGACAGTACAATTGACCAATCATATCTTACCTCTAAATGGGCGGGCTTTATTTCCGCGGACTTTATGACAAGTTCCGCCCGCTGTGAGGTCTATGCAAGTGGTGCAGTGACGCATCCTATAACCCGGAAGTAAGCTTCGCTCGGATTCCCTCGACAGGGACAGAAAGCAACGGCATTTCTCCATAGGATTTTGGAAAATAGCTCGAAATAAGGTCTGTGGAAAACAAACCTGTTAGATAAATGCACGTTTTGTTCAGCCGGATAATATCCACATGTCTACCCTACTTTTATTATTTTTGAATCATAAATCTAAACGATAGATTTATGATCGATATATTTATAATTAGCATAAGTTCGTTCATGATGGCTCACTTCAGTGATAGTGATGACATCGTTGCGAAATTATTAACCGAGTCATTTTCAAGATTGAGTTACAATGATAAACTGGAGTGGCATAGGATCAGCTGCATGACCCGCCATCAAGTGCTTCATCCAAAAGGACAGGAGGATGGACTTTGTGTTTGAGTGATTTGATCATCAAAGGTAGGCCTAAGTCATTTTCAATGTGGGCCGCCGTGCCGACTTAATTCATTTGCAATTGTTACTTGGCTGTAAGTAAGGGAGCCTGTCATGATAGGTGTTTATATAAATGGTATTGTTCTGTGTGGTAGAGGGTCGCTGTCATTGATGCGTTTTGCACCCCGAGCCGCTGTTTTGATATTCCGCTGAAGTATACGCTGTGACGTAATATCTCTTCTTTTTTTTCGAGGGAAGGGGGGGGGGTGGGGGGGGGGGTCAGAGGGCCTAGGTATAAAAGTCACGGCTCGTCACTGGTGCTGACACTACTGACAGTCTTATTCTTACATACAAAATTACTCAGAGGTATTTTATGTTAAACTGTTAAATAAACATCTGATTGGCATTTAACTCTGTGTGACCTCCCTCTTTGTTTCCAGCCTTAAGTCTGTTTGTAACACCAACAAAGTGTTTCTTTCCTTCCAAATGTCTCTCAGAGGGGCGTGGGGAGGGGCTCCTTATTTTCATCTAAAGTAAAAGACAGAGAATCAGCACTTTGGAAACAGGGTTGAAACAGAGGGGATTTTGGCTAAAATGGGTGATCTTTTTAGTATTTCAAGCTAAACACTTCAGAGACATGTAACATGTTGATGAAAAACAGTATAATAGGGGACCTTTTAAAGAGTAACTTTTTCGCAATACTTTTTTTTAAAGGGGACCTATCATGCAAAATGCACCTTTTGATGTCTTTTATACATAAATATGTGTCCCCGGTGTGTCAGGGAACTCAAGCAGCGTCAGGAAATAAAACCCTCTCTCTTTTCCTCCGTACTCAAATCTCTAAAAACGAGCTGGATCCAGATTTGCGTCCGATATGACGTAATATCTGAAATGTGGACCCACGGCCCTATCAGAAAGTTGCTATCAGAAACAATGCCTGACTGTTTTGGACGTAATATGGTCGGTGTTTACATTAGCATCGCTAACACTCAGAGCTAACCTGTACTGGAGAGCATGTGTGTGAAGAAGCAGGAAGTAAAAAGATTAGGTTAACCCTAGACCAGCAAGCTGCCATCCAGACAGCCACCGTAGGACAGCGGACAAATCCTCAGTGGCAGTTACACAGGCAGGGCAGGTTGACAATTATGGTGCTGTGCTGCGGTCGGGACTTTCATCCACTCCATGCTCATAAAGAGGGTGCTTGGGGGGTACAACTTGGACGGAGTCATGGCTGTCAACTAGGGGGTTGTAAACGAGGCCGAAGGGGTGAAGGCTTTTGTGCAGGCCTATCGGGTGACAGTGTTCGAGTCTGGTCTCTTTGTGAGTGAGTCGGGTGTTCACAGTGCCACACAGCCAGAGGAACATGACCATTGCGGAGGCAGTCCAGTTACCATCCTTCTGTCTCCGTGAGGAGGGTGGGTCATACATTCTCAAGGAGAACCACCCATACTGGCACCAGGTCCAAGGGCAGCTGCACATCACAGACCGGAGTCTCTGCTACTTTGTTGTGTGGACCACGAAGGAGGCGATCATCATCCCCATCCCCATCCCCAAAGACCCTGCATGGCATGGAAATCTCCTCCTCCTGGAAAAATTCTACACCCAGCATATGCTCCCTGTGTTGGCCAGTAGAGAGGAGGACATTTAAATAAACATACTCTTAACACCCTCGGACTCTGCGTTGTGTTTCGTATGTGTGATGGGGTGTTATG